GGGTCCGGCCGGGCCTGTGCTTCCCTCCCCCTTACCCCCAGCTCCTCTGTGTCTTGGGGTTTGGAGGCAACACCTATCAGTGAACAGGAAGCAACTAGTACTCTGGAAACTGAGATGGGGGGACGTGGGGCAATGTTTGGATCCAGGAAAGTTCATGTAATTTTAATTAATTTAAGTAGTTTGATTAAGCCCTGGAATTATCTGTGAGGAGGATGCAAACTAGAAAGTGAAATGCAAAACTGCCTGGGGCGAAGGTACAATTTCCTGCAGACAACCATCAGAACATCTTTTCTATTTCTATTCCCCCTTAACTCTGGAGAAAGAAAAACCCTGTGCTCAGTTCCAGAGACTTCCATAGGGACAACATCTAGGGTGTAGGGTGTGGACGGCTAAGGTTCGTGATAAGTTTGGCCACAAACTGTTGCTTTAAAAAAAAGCGGTAACTTTAAAAAAATTGAAATTATATAGTTCTTTCTCACACTCTATTCTCCACTTGAGTTAACCTCAAATACCTTTGAGATAAACTTTGTTGGCATCATATTATTACATCAATAATTTCTAACATAACGTATTTTCAAATTCATTTTACGAGCATTCTGAAAATAATTAGGAAACTACTTTTTATTTTTTAATTGTAACCTATTTTAGGTATTTTCTTTGTTTTCTCCTTCTCGAGTGTTCTGTCAGGTACAGATAACAAAGCCTGTAAAATAGTCTTCAGAAGACGATTGGATTTATTTTCACCTAAGGAACAATTAATTTTGCAATGTGGTGGGAGGTTGTTCTCTTCAGTATGAACCCTGAAAAAAAGTAAAACTAGATCATCAAATTTTAAATAGCTTCATTTCTTTTTTTTAAATTTTTTTTCCTTTTTGTCTTTTTTCGTGTCCGGCAACGGGATCGCAACCCTCGGTGTTGCCCCCACACCTCGCTCAGCCACTGAGCGGGAACCAGTCTGTATGTGGGATCCGAACCCTCGGCGGGAGCGCCACCACACTCTCAAGTGGCGCACTGTAGCAGTGCGTCACCGGGCCGGCCCTTAAACAGAAAAATAAGCATATTTAAAATATTTCTGGTTTAAAATGGGCAGGATGTCCTGGCTTACAAACAGATGAATACAAAGAGATATATCAACACATTTTTAAAAGATTCTGTGTATGGGATAGATTTGGGGATCCTTACAAGGTCCATTATTCTGTACTATGCAATATTGTTCAGTAGCTATGTTACCAAAAAAAAAAGTCCAGCATTGACTTCCGTGATCCCAAAGAAATGAGTTGATTGTGGAAATTTTCATTAAATTCAGAACAGTAGAAAAGAAGCTGATTATAGCTTAAAGTTATGAATTCATTTTACATATAGGCAGTTTTGTTGTTTCTAAAATTTTTAAGAGAGCAACATGGATCTATTCACAAGAAAATTTTAAAAAGACTATTTTCTCAATTAAAGAAAGATTTGACATATGCCTCCCTGTGATATCATTTTTTTAAAAAGCAAATATTATGGATTGAATTGTCCCCCCAAAACTTAATCTCCACTGTGACAGTGTTGAGGGTGGGAAATCCTACTATGGTAATCACAAGGTAGGGCCTTGAAGAGATGATTAGATTGTGAGGGCCATGCCATAGTAAATGGATTAATCCATTTGATGGTTTAATAGTGGTTGTGGGTGTGGTTCTGTTGGCCTTAAAAGGAGAGCAAGTGATGGGCCGGCCCNACAACACCAAGTCAAGGGTTAAGATCCCCTTACCGGTCATCTTTTTAAAAAAAAAAAAGGAGAGCAAGTGAGAGTTTTTCTCTCTGCTTCCACCATCTGCCATGTGACACCCTGCATTGTTGTGAAGAGTCACTCCCCATCAACAAGGCTCTAACCACATGTGTTCCCTGGAATTTGGACTTCTCAGCCTCTAAAACTATAAGCAATAAATTTCATCTTTACACATTACCCAGTTCTGGATATTTATGTTACAAGCAACATAAATGGACTAATACAGAAGATTATTAAGGATTCAAAAATTTTTTTACGACTAGGAACTACTTTTACCTATTCAGTATATATTATAGCCTGTGCCACCAAAAACGTAATATACGTATTCTAATACAGATGGAACAATACAAGTATTTACCACTGTAAAAAAACAAATTTAGACCTAGGTTAGGAGAGATTTTATTTAAAAGGACAGTGTAATAAGGAGAATTCTCCAACCACAAAATCTGCAAATATCCAAGTCACAGAGAAAAGAGCCTTTCTTTTATGTGAAGGAGTAAACAAGGCTAGAAAGCATAAGTGTGGGGCAGTGGATGAGCACGGTGCATGACCTACAGTTACTCAGGGAATATTTTATCTTAACAGCTGCCTGTTCTTACAAGAGAATGTTAGGGGGGAGAAGTTGTTCTGAATTACAATACCCAAGATTAGGCCAAAGATTAGGCCTGGGAAAAGGAGGGAAGTTTAATTCAAGGTTGATTTAAGTCAAGTGAACACACATCGTTCCCATCGATCAGTGGGAACAAACAAGTCATCCTTGTTAAGATAAATAGTGGAAATTTAGAGGTTCTGTATTTGGCTTTTTCCTATGTGAACAAGGGGGCTATCATTAGACTTAATGTAGTCCAGTGATGAAGTGCGGTTCTTTGCAGTAAACTCATCCAGGAAAAGAAAGGGTGGGGATGTGGTAGGTTCTTCAACCTTTACTATTTTCCAGGACTATAGGATTAGAGACAACTTCAGCATTGTCATCATATATTATAAAACCAAGCAAAATTCTAAAAATAATTTTAAAAAATGTATTACATTTAAAGTATGGAATATGAGAAACTTTAATAATAGTAACAGAAAACATTTGCCCCAGTACCTTGGCCCTTGAATGGCATCAAAGAGCCCCAAGTGTTCATTGTAACTGTGTTGTGTCTATTCCTGTCTCATACATGACATCACTGAGTGTTAAAAATGTGGCTTTAAATCACCAAAGTCAGAGGTTTCTGTAAATGTTATATTGAACAAAAGCCTATAGTTACATTAAGAAAAAGAGTTTTCCCTTCTACATTTTTCTGCTGATCATTGAAAAAAATTTTGCAGGCATAATCAAGAATGTCATGGCCACAATAACACAATACAAGTAATAGTTGATATGTAAGACCCATCTAAC